ATATATTTCTGCTCAAAATCACATGTATATCTTCAGCACATGTGTCACATTACATCCAGATTGTCCCTGTTATTTGGAAAGAATGCATGGTGCAGTAGCTCAGGCTTTGTAGTTGAGTGACTGTCTAGGAGGTAGGCCATGTGACTCATTTCCAAGAGGTGCATCTTCACCTACCTTCCCCAAGCTTCAAAATGCTTATTTCTACAACAAAGGTGAAGACACAGCTCACCTCACAGAACTGATAAACCAACTAAGTCAGTGACATGAAAGTCACACCTGGTACACAGGAAAAGCTCATTGAATGATGGTGCATTGCTGTTATTGTTATTATTGTGCCATCTCGACAGTTGGAGCCTGAGCTCCCTCAGGTAATACATTTTGCTTTCTGCATGAGCTGCACTGTAGCTCCTGGCATAAGCAGCTTCTTGGTGGAAAAAAGAATGACTTTCTTCCAATTCTGAATAACTTGAAAACCATTGTCTTTGTCAATAGGTATTCTGTAATCCTCCAGAACAAGTTTCTTCTAGTTTAACTTCTTGTAAAATTATTCCTAATCCTTCTCAAAATATTTGAAAGCTTTCTACAGACATAGATTTTTAAAAAGCTACATTAAAATCCAATAGTTTGAAAAATTAATATGCAGTAATAAAACATATTTTCAAATCCTGTAAAATAACAGTGAAATAAATTTCAAAACTTCTTTTAAGTTGTTTCTAGTATTGAGTAAATTTTGGCATCAGGTTAACTTTCTTAATATCTAAATTATACCTCTCTCAATTGCTATTTAAGTCTACTTCATTTTATTTTGTCCTCAGGAGTATGAAAAAAAACTGTGGCAATAGTTTTGTGAAACTACAAATTACCTTTTTCAAAGCTTTCTCTTCTGGACTGACTGTTCTAGGATTTATTAACCGTTCCACTTAAGGTTATTTTTCCTGTGAAGTTTAAGAACACAGAAGCAAACCCATCTCAAGAGAATATCCACATCTCACTAGGTATCACTCCGCACAGTTGCATCAATTTTCTTTCTCATTATTGGAATCATTAATGGAAGAATTGCATGTTGCTTTCCCTGCAGGGGACCTACCACTTTGGCATAGCACGCATGAGGATCGGCTTCGGCGCAGCACTTCTCCAGTTTGGCTTCATAGCCCTTGGCCAGTCGCAGCAGCAGGCCAACAGAGTACTCGGGGTGCCTTCTTGAATATTCATATAAGAACCTAAGTAAAATGAACACAGACTGAGTCAGACAAAGAGCCAGAAAAATCGCATAATGAACGCAAAGAGTAACTCCTGTTCCAAAGGCCTGGATAGGACTAAATGCCAAGCAGTAAAACTTGGTGAAGAAGGACTTGGGTGTAGAGTTAAGGTTTCTTCCATTCCATTTCTGGATCTGCCATTTATCTTACACATTACTTCAGGCAACTGGCTAAAACTATCAGAGCCGTGGCACGAAGATAATAACAGTGTCGGTCTCAACATGGGCTGTGCGAAACACATAACATACTCTATGTAAATCACACACATCTTGGCACGTTGTAAACGGTACCTGATATTTTTACATATATTTAGTTTAATTTGGGTGACATCTCAAAAAGATTCCAATAGATTTAGAGATAGCTGTTAACTTTTCCTCTCTCCTCTCTGTATAGTGAAATCTTTTAGGATACTGAATTTTACTAAATATTATTTAGTACATGTGATACCCTCATGATCCAGGAAAGAAATGCAAAGTTTATCACCAAACTTACCAGCAACATATAATAATTTGTCATTTTAATTACATACTACTTGCCATGCTACTGAGATTTTTGTCTTTTTGCTCAAGTGTAAAGCACCTGTCATCGGACTATACTTTTTTGTTTTTGCTGCCATCATATAAATGCATTTCTATAGCTAGATGACAGATGTATATAACAGTTGATAAGTGATGTATATTTATATATATTTTAGATGTTTAAGAAATACCCTTAGCTGGCAAGCGCAGGGTCCTGAGTTCAATCCCTGGTCCAGCAAAAAAAAAAATACCAAAAATACCCTTAGGATGAAGGAATGACTACATTATTATACATGCATAAAGTTTATATATAATTTATACATACAAAGACTATTTATAGAGACATTTCCAAAAATATCCCCAAGGAGTAAGGAATATTAAGCTTCTTCCATGAAAATGTATGTGCTAGATCATCACAATGTTTCCACTTATTTTTTTCTAAATAACTCTAAGATCTAATGATGATCTAATTACAGATCAGAAGAGGGAAGGATGAAGAAGGCTGAGCCACATGGAAATTCTGGTAGCTTCAGAGGAAAGCCCACCATACACTCCTGAACTTTGAAGCTATATGACTGTTATGAAATGGTCATGTTTTTATATACTCACGTGCCCAGGAAGACATCCTTTGCTTCAGCATAATTTTTGCAAACTTCTTTATCTTCAACAAAGTCAACGGTCAATGCAGGCAAGTCAGCTGGTATGTCATCTTTATGAACCTCTGCGATGCAGTGGGATTTTTCAAGCAAGGGCTTTTCACAGCACTCCTTCAGCTTACTGGAGATTGTCTCTTGATTCTCACAAATGTACTTGGCCAAGTCCGCCTGAAAGCAAGTTGAATATTGCTCAACATCAGTTGGTATTGCTATGCTTTCTTAAGCTGGAAAACATAGTCACTGTATTCTAAGACCAGACACAACCACCATGCACCCATGAATCTGTTCTCAGTCAGAGCTCCTAGGCATAGGGACTCAGAGACATTGACTAACAGCATCCCACTTAATCAAAAAGACTAATTGGAAATAACTTATAATGACTTACTTATTTTAATTAACTTCAGTTATTAATTTTGTTTCTATTATTGATGCATTTACCTTTTTGTTTTTGCATTTACCCTTTTTAAAAGTAAAAATTCAATGTGATTTTCCCAATCTTTACTCCCTAAACTGAGTTCAGGTATCCTGAAACCAAATAACCACATAAAATATGACAGATTTTTGAAAAATGAGTCAAGATTACAGTCATAGGCCTTGTTTAAAGTATATAAAGTATCTGCCATCAGTTTTCCAGGGAGTGTCACATAAACTAGAATTCTGTTATTTGGTCATATTTTTCTTTCACCTTTTATTTATTAGCCCATGTGTGCAGTCCACAGTGTTTACACCCACTGCATGGAGTTGGTCCATGGACATAATAACCTTAACTCCTCATTGATTCCCTTCCCCTCCTCCCTCCATCTCTTGGTCTCCTTCCCACTTTGAGGAAAGGGAGACAATATTGCAGGTTTAGTGAGAAGGTGATCATGTTGAACATTTAATACACAAGATAAAATGGAGGGAAAAGTATATCTTTCTAAAGTCCTCTTCAGGTACTAGCCCTTCTCTACTCATATCCTCAAAATACCTTTAAAAATCTGTGTTTGTAGCTGTCTGCTTCTCGTAAGCTTTTATTGCTAGAGTGACTAGAAGGACTGCTTGGACTTGTAGTGATCTCCTGTTTCCAGCCTCCCCAGTGCTGTGATTTCAAGGCATACACCACCATGCTCTGTCTAGGTGGCAGGCTCAGCATGCACAGGGACAGGGCCAGTGCAGCATGTTGTGCCAGGGATTGAATCACTGTCCCTGAGCTTGACTTAGCAGTCCACTGAGCTATCTTGCCAGCACAGTAATTAGTTTGTAAAAAGAATTACTTTTCTTTTAAAAAGAATAACCCCTCCAGAAAAAACCCAAGCACAATAAAAAATAAAAATGACACAGCATTTCAAAACAAGATGATAGTAAATTAAGAATGGTTGTTATATTACATATTGTTATCTTCAAAGTAGCTGCTCAGATTACAAGATAGAGGCATGCAAGATTAATCAAGCCTTAAAACTAGAGAGAGAGAGAGAGAGAGAGAGAGAGAGAGAGAGAGACCCTTGCAGGTAGAGAAAACTTGCAAACAAGACCACAGAAGACGATGGCAATCATGGTCAGTGGTCACCACTGACCTAAAACATTTTCCTTCCACCCACTCAAGCATGTCAGCTACCAAAGACTAATGAATGAGTCTTACCCTGTCATCTGCACATTCAAGCAGGTCACCATGGCAGCATTCCTTGGTGATTTTGACAACAGAATTTACTAAGTTAGTAATTTCTGCAAAATCAGCTTTGGGAAATTTCTGGCTCAGACGAGCTACTAACCTAAAACAAAACAAAAAAATCCCCCAATCAAAATATTACTTTATACATACTTTAAGTCAAAGTAGTAGGAGAACACTATTTATAACAAGGAAATTCAAGACAGACTTAGATACAGAAGAATTTTTAAAAATGCATTAGTTATTTTAATGCTAGATCTGAGTCATATCCATACTTCCAGATCATTGTGTATAAAAATAAAAGGCCATGACCATAGCTCTATTAGAGTGATGGACCATTAAAATTAGATCTTCAGGCTAATAAATAAATAAGATTTAAATATCTTTCTATTTTGGAATAAGAAAGATAAACTTCTAAATTCTTTCACAATCAAAATAAGGCAAAAACTAATGTCAAATTGTTATCATTATATTCTGCTTTTCAACTCTATCACCTTTCTATACTTTAGACAAAAATTTCATTCAAAAGAATGAAGCATGTGATAAAATATGAGTGAAATTCTGAACCATTACCATCTATATCATTATAAACATGTAAACTGTGTTAAATAATATTTACCATGCTTTTAAAGCTCTTTCCCCAAATTTCTCAATACTGGCGCACTTAAGTCTCTGTTCACCGGCGGACAACAGCGCCTTTTCTTTCACAGCATCCAACTACAGAAACAAATCAGCATGAAAAAATTAAAACAGAAAATGTATACAAAAAATACCCCTTCATAAACTCAGTCAAATTGAATTTTAAGGTTAGATGAAATTTACATCTAAATTCCTAGGTATTCCTTTTATCAAATTATTTAGATGGAAAAGACAATGCACTCATGGTGGAAATATTGGTACTCAAAAAGCAGGAGGGACATTGCCAGGGAAAAGGGATCTGAAATAAGCATGTACTAATATCCCTGGTGATGTTTGCTAACTTCTTACTTAGTTCATAATTCATTTCAACCCCTCCTCCAATTCTATTTTTGGGGAGTTTTATTCTTCAACAGTAAAACTCCCCCCAAAAGAGAATAAAGCACATAATAAAATGCAAATGAAAAAAAATAAAATGAGTTCTGGCTTGAACTACAGTCAAATTGCCTACTTTGAATTTCTTCCCAAATATGAAAACCTTACAGAAAGATTAACAAAAGCTGTGACCCATTGCTGTCTAATTAGACAAACACATGTTACTATAGCACTGACCACAAAGATGGGGTGGGCGCACAGAGACCCTTATCAGGCCAGCATGGGCAGGTCTGGTAAGGAAGAAGAGGGATGTGAGAGGCCTTTCATAAAGAATAGAAGGTCTTTTGAGGACATGCATGTGGAAGGTGTGCTTGACCATGTAAGGAAGTTCTATCAAAGTTTTAGGTTTCCCAAAGGTAATGATAGTCAAAGTCTAAAGCTGCTTGACAAGCAGTTCTTTCTTCTTTTGGGAGATACCTTTGGTGTCAGGCAGGCAGCTTTGTCAGCAGCTTCGCAGCATTCTGTCAAAATGTTCTTATACTTTTCAGCATAATAAAGGAGTTCTGGGGCATAAAAGTAAGGATGTCTTCTGGCGACTTCATATAAATAACTAAAAAAAAAAAAAGCCAGTCATTTTCCCACAGCACATTAGAGAAATAATTATAATCACCATTTCTACCACAGCCTGGATAACTCAAACGTGTACCTTACCTATTAAAGTCTGTTAGCACCTGGTGACCTTTTCTTTGTCCTTCCTCAAGATAGTGAAGAAGAAAGTGGTGTGGTGGTGGTGGTGTGCATGTGTGTGTGTGTGTGTGTGTGTGTACATGAGCTCATATCACAGAGTAACTGGTAAACTTTGGTGATCTACTGTTGTTGATAAAAATGAAATCTGCCCATACACTGCAAAATTTTTCAGGGGCTGGAGAGATGGCTCAGTGGTCTAAAGCACCTACTTGGAACAAGCTTGGCAAAGCACAGGGACCGCGGTTCGATCCCCCAGCACCACATGCCAGCCAGCCGCGCCCCCTGGTGGGCTGAGCTGGCCACACACACACACACACACACACACACACACACACACTAAATAAATGTTAAAATAAATAAATAATTTTAACAAAAAAATTTTTCAGAATATTTTAAAACACGTTCATCTCAAACTTTTCATATAGAACATATTCCACTGAAAGATTCTTGGTCATATTTTTGTTGCATAAAATTTTGTGGTAACCAGTATTATCTCTTCAAAAAGTATTAGAAAAACAAAATTTCCAACTCTCAATATTGAATATCTCTTCAAATACATTACCGTTATGATGAGTATTGACCTATTACTCTTCATGTTTAGTTTTGAGATGTAGATGTTTAATTACTTACTGTCCAATTAAAAGTTTACTGTTTTCCTTGAAGTCAGTGCACAAAGCCTCAGGCTCTGCCCGCGCAAAGGGAGGCAGGCTGGGGCTGTCATCTTTGTGCTTCAGGAAGCACTCGTTCCTCTCAGGTTCCTGTTTGGCACAGCAGTCAGCCAAGTCTCCGTAGCTCTCATGCAGAGTTGGGATAGCACATATCTTATCTCCAAATAGAGCATGCTGGAGGGGAGAGAGAAGCCTATAAATTAGTGGACAGTAATTCTTTTATAGTCAAAGAGCAGCATAGAATAATTGATATTCAGATAAAGCATGTTGGGACACCATACATTGATGCATATCATTTATATATGAGGGGAAACATTATATGGCACCCAATATTTATAATTTATTTGTATCCACCAGTTAAAAATTGTTAATACAAAAATTAATGAAATAATATTTTAAATTACATAAAAAGAAATCATAAAAAATCACCTCCCCTAAAGATTTAGCTTCCTTTGATTTGACTATCTCTGTGTAACTTTCATAACAATTAACTGCCACAGTATTACTTAAGGACCAGCGATTGTTAATGATTTTAAAGATCTTGGCACTAGTCTGGGAAAGTAATCTTTAGCCTTAAGTGTAGCTGATGCCCATTGCAGGGGGAAGGCTTCCAAGAGTTTTTCTTTTGATCTGCTCCTTTCTGCGAGGCCCAACATTTTTATAAATATTATTTAAAAGTGAAGAGCGATACAATCTATCATATATTGTTACTGAAATAAAATAGATATCCATGTATTCTAGAAATATTTATTTCCAAATAGTCGTTAAACAAACCCTTTCTTTCCCATTAATTTTTATTATGAATGTCACTATAACCCCACAAAAAATATAATGTGCTAGACAGAATTTATTAATATTTTAAAGTGAGGTTTTTGAAAATTCATCTATGGAGTCATACTATTGTGGATCTAAAGTGCTGCTTCTACAGTGAGAAAGAAGACTATCCAAAGGGAAACAAGCAGAGGAATATTCTAGTACTAAGTAATACACGTCCTAGCCCCAGAGGCTTCAGTAAACTGCAGTGGGAGAAATTAAGGCCTTTTATTTTGAAACCTATCTGGAAATAAAAAAAGTTTAAGTTCTTCAAAATGATGGAGTACCCTGCTTTTTACTATGTACAAAATATTTATATTCCTATAATGAGGCAAAATAGCTACATTACTATTTAACCCAGGTAATAAAATTAGCATAGATAATACTTAGTGCTTTCTGAACAGAAAAGCATGCTATTGTCTCAGAGAGATTAGCACTCCTGTATTCACTGCAGCACGATTTACATAGTCAAAACATGGAGATGACCTCTATGTCCACTGGCAGATGAATGAATACAGAAAATATAGACCATAGAAACAGGAATACCACTCAGAGAGGAAGACTACAACTGGTGGCAATGTGGAGGAACTGTGAGAACAGTATCCAGAGCATGATCAAAAATAATCAAATTCTGAGAAGCAGAGAGTAAAATGAAAGTGTCCAGGGTATAGGAAAAGTGGGATAGGGAGGTTAATTAACTGCTATAAAATTTCAATTAAACCAGATAAACAAAAGCTAAAGATCTATTATGTAGTACCTCATAAATTACAACATTTAAGAACATAGAATCTGATGTCAAGTTTTCTTACCACAGTAAAACAGACAATAAGTACATTAAAATGCTATTGTTATTAGCTTTTATAAAAAGAAAGTCAACTGCAGATTTTGAAACAAGATTGCAACAATGACATATTGCATTTAACTAAGCTATCACTATTACTTGTAATCTTAATGAAGAACCAATTTTAAAATTGCCTGTAAAACTAGAACATCTCTGTCCCAAAAGAAATAATGGTTTCAGTTCCTAAACAATTTTTGAGTGTGACTTACAAATTTGTTCATTTAATAATATTATTTTTTAAAACAAAAAGGAACTTTTCTTTGAAATATTTACGAATTACTTGGATGAGAACCTTTGAAATCATAATGTACATACAATTGATTTGTCACAATTTTCAGCTGTCTCATCAGCAGCACATGTTTTTGCAAAATCAGTCACTTCCTTGACTAATTTTATGTGTTCTTCAAAGGGGCACTTCTGGAGATACTGAGAAAAGGCAATCAATACCCTGAAACAAAAGACAGCGATGTGTGACACAACAAAACTTTAATATAAAAGTTTCTGTGCTAGGCAGCAAACTGTATATGTGGCCTATATCTTAACATGTCTCTTACAATTTTCTAGAAAGCCTCTTCATATCAAGTATTACACAAAGCCTAGCCAAGTATGTGCAGCTTCCTCAGCAAAGAGGATGCGTATTTCCACCATATCTGACTATATATGTGTGCATCGCAGGAAATTTACATGTTTAGGACCAATAGAAAATATATAATAAAGAGGTTTATTTGTTAAGATGAGACATTACAGAAGTCATTTTAATCAAGCTGTGTGATAACACTGATCTTTAAAAAAATAAGCATTTGTAATAGGATAAAAAATCATTGAAATATTCCTGAGAAACCCCAGGTCTGCATGCTATGTAAAGGGATTCTCCTTGTAAGTAGGCTGACAAAATGGCTATATACTACAGTCCTTTCCATAGCTGTGTAAAAGTCTCATAGTTTCAATGTCCAATAATAGTCACTAGCCATATGTGACCTTATACATTTAAATTAAATACAATTGAAGCTTTGTTCATCAGTAGCGATATTTAAAGTATTCAATAGCACATGTGGCCTGTGGCTACTATATCAAACAGACTGGTATATAATATTTCCATCAATGAAGACATATGAGGAATTTCTCATTTTCCAGTCCTCATTCTGGAATATGAGGACTTAAGAGTAGTAACCAATGCTGTCAGTAACATTAACACTGATTCTTTCACTTACAGGCCTTTAAAATGTTCTTCCCCCAAATCTTTGAATCGATGAGCAATCTCGCTCTTGTCTGAGGGAAAGAAGAAAAAAACATAAGACGAGTTTAAATATTGAGAAAAGTTATGATGATAATTGTTCTACTTCTTTCCTTTTAACCTATTTCTTTGCCTCAAAGTACTGGACCAGGATCCCTACACAGAATCTTGGGATAATGATAAACTGTATTTTCTACATCTAAAAATTATTCAGACACCACGAATATTATTTTAATATTCATTAAATATTTATAAGTATTACAGCATTATCACAATAAATATTTTATAAAGCTTAGATGAGACAATGCTTTGTGGTGCCAATATACAGGTACTGAGAAGACATTCTAACATAAAAGAAAATATAACTGCAAGTCCTAGATGTAATACTAACAGCAAACATTTTTAAAAATACAACATGATGCCGTGGATAGGTCTTTGTGATAGATATTAATTTTCTCTTCTACTCTATTCTAAAATTTGTCGTCTGTCTCATGTTCCTTATGTGCAAAAGAAAATTATAGTCATCAAACGGTTCATTCCATTTCACCTAAGATACCTAAAATAAGTTTCTAAGTTCAAAGAGTAACTGTATATTTTGTTCACTTGTACAAAATATCGTCATATTCTAGAGATAAATACTAAAAGAAAACTTAATACTTTAAAGGCATAGGATTCACTGAAACTTGATTTCACTAGGAAAATAAAGTTAAACAATGGAAAAATAAAATTCTTACGTGCTTCTCGACGAAACACACCCCTGGAATAAGCAGAGCTGAAAAGGAAGAGAAGGGAAATAAAGGTTACCCACTTCATTGTGCCCAATGCTTGTGGGGTTGATAGAAAAGTAGATGGATGGCAGCAAATCAGCCCTAATATACTACTCTAACCGATAATTGTAGATTATTAACTAGACTCAACTAGCATTTCATTGGCTCCCAAGTGATTACAAAATCACAAAATTCTCGCCAAAAAATTGTTTGACTAAATCCCTTGCGTGTGTTTGTGACTTGGAACTGTTTTCTATGCAAGACTTTGTCAACTCATAAAAGTTATGTAAAATGTCTTATCAAATTTTACATAAGAGTTTAAAGGATTTGTACCTACTATTCACTGTCATGTTCTTTACCTGTTATTTTTTCCATTTTAAAACTTAAATTTTTAATATTTATAAAACTTCAAATGAACCAATGACTTAGCTTGGAAATAAGATATACAAAAAGAGCTAGGATTCAAATAACATTTATTACTAACTCAAAGCATGCTTTTTTCCAGGTAGTTAAAAATTTAGACATACCTACATGGCTTTCATTCTTCTGAAATTGTTCTATCTGAAAAACCTTATGTTGCCTCAAATGCAAACTAAGAAAAAGCCATAGCAACAGCAACAACTAAAACATTTAAAAGTTCTATGTTTCCATCCCATGTCTGGTATACATGTGACACAGGTCTTGAGGTAGGACTCTTAGATCTAATGTGAAGATCTCTTATAGGACTTTTCAGTCAAAGACACATTGGGAAGAAAATGGACACAGAGGACAGCAATGATCTTTGCCATTGTGGTATGCACAGGAATACTTCGTGAGAATGAATCCTAGCCCTGTGCCAGCATCTAATTCTTCCCACTCCCATTTCATACTTTTCTTTCCATTGTCCTTTAATAAAAAGAAAAATCACAGATTTCTTCACTGCTACTTTATGTCGCAAAATAGACTTAGCATTATGAATAAAAACAAAGCAAAGCAAAGATAATCTTTTTAAATGTTTAAAAAATATCTCTTTCCCCACAGCACCTTCTCTAGATTCTCTTCTGTGCCTCAGAAGAGCTCTGCTTTTGCTCTGGAAGTGAAAGACTACTGCTATCAACCAGCAAGAAACTGACTGTCTCTGTCACTATAATTAATTATTATAATTATAATTAATTAATAATAATCATCATTTAGCCAGTCATTTCACTTCATTAAATAACTCAGTCAGAACTGTCAGGCAAGTTGCCTCTGGCCTCTCCAGGCACACACAGACCAATGACTGCCCTAGAGAGGCATCACACTCACTAGTCATTGTATACCGAAAGAAAACACATTTCCTCATTCTAGTTCATCTTTGGGAAGTTGCATTAATGAAAAACCCAAGCACAGAAGAGCAGAAATTAGATGAGAGATAGTGATGGAGTACCAATAACTCAAAGGAGGCCTGGGAGAGAATGGTAGGCTTATCTTTCAAGCCACAGATGAACAGAAGAAAAGAACTTCTTGTGGAATTATTTCCATTAGAGAAAAACATTTCTTAAAAGCCAAAGAAACTTATAGTGGAAAGGAGACAAAGAAACAGTTCTGACTTTTTCAATACAGAAGGTAATTCTTTCTTGGATAAATTCAGGCTTTGGCCACTCACACACATACTTTTCTTATTTTTTGCATTTAACAAATGATATTTACCCATCCACCTTGGACCTCGATATTATATTGTCGTACGATGGTAAAAGCTAACAACCTATCAGTCACATTTATCATGATGTGATAGAAACTTCAGATTGATTTTCCTATATTCAGTGAAGATCTTACTGCTTCAAAATATAAAATGGATAAAACCTGAAACACCTTTCCTTAACAGTATGATCATGGCGTTTTGCATGTGTATAACCTTATTAATCATAGGTAGATTCTTAAGAGACTAAGATTGTTAATTATTAACAATTTAATAATTAAATTGTCTGTTTAAAATTCATTAGTTAATAAGAAGTTTTTGTATTTATAGATTCTCAAATAAGAATTTCTTCATTTTTCTATGAAAATCCTATCATTAATTCTACGTATCCTATTTTCCTTTTTCATTTGTTTTTTTTTTTTTTTTTACTTTTTACATCCAAAATTTTATTTCCTTTCAAATATATAAAGTGACATGTTATGAATGGAGAGAAAACCATAGTTAATGATGTCTAAAGATTGTATTCTTTTAAAAAGCTGCCAAACACTCCAAATAATTCAACATATACATTCTATTTCAAGAGGAATAAAATTCATACTCCTAGGTATTTTTAAATATTCTATTATTGTTCAAGTATTTAAACCCTGCATTTAGTCAGTCACCGAAGAACTCTGGCATGAGGGTAAATCAAATACTGAAACTCCCAGGCCACTTGCACTGCTGTTACAAGGAAGATGGTTCTGCCACCTCTCTGCAGCCGGTCTTTCCCCACACCACTCCAGCGCAGCAACACAGCCAGTTACCTGCCTTGTGCTTGGCACTTTCTGCACCCCAGAATCAGGAGTCACATTAACCATACCTTTAAAATTAAAAAAAATAGAGTTTTAAATATGGTCTTAAAATCTAGGTTCTAGGTAAACAAAAAAAAAAGTCCAATGATTTTTCAGTGTTGTCTAATGTGTATGTGAAAAGTTTAATAATAGAGAGCAGTTAAGAAAATTGCCGGTCAGCGAGATAGCTCAGCGATCTAAAGTGCCTGCTTAGGCAAATTTAGGCAAGTGCAGGGACTGAAATTCAATCCCCAGAACTACATGCTGTGCCAGCCCCATCTCCAGGGCGGGCCGAGCTGACCACAAAAAATAAATAATAATAATAACGAAAAATTACTTTATTTGGAAATAATAATAATATATTAATGTAGAAAAAAATACTACAACGAAAGTACAGACATTACTTTAAGAGCTTAATCACTTGTGTCCTTTGTTTTTCATTTTGAGAAGATGGAAAAGGAAAAGCTTTGAGCTACAATAGTTATCTCCTGACTTGCTCCTTACTTCTTGTCACACTGATAATAGCCTGGCACCAACAACCTCCTCTCCTCCTCCATGCTCCAGAAGCTTCTCACAGAAGGGGTGCAGGCCATCTTTCAGCTATCTCCCCTGGCATGGAGTGTTCCTTTTGGGTATCCTCCTGACAACAAGGTAAAATATATCATCAAAAATGACAAATTTTAATAATATTTTCAGTATATTAACAGAGATTTTCTGCTAGCAGTCATTTAACCACAGCTATTCCAAAATAAAAGAGATGTGGGTTCATTTGGAGAGAATGTAGGGGACTGGAGGAATCTTCTCTCAACTTTCTTTCTAAGACACAATGGGCACATGCAGGCCATAGCTATCATAAAGGGCCTAGACCACCTTCTCAAACACACAGAAGGAAAACAATTGAAAGACCATTAAGCATCAAATTAACAAATGTAACAATATGCAATTTAATTTCTTATTCACTTAGGAAAGTACATTTCCAACAAAAAATAAAGAAATTACTCAAAATGTATGAGCTTATATAGGCTTTCCAATGAAGCAAAAACATGTAAACCAAATACAAATTGTCTTCTCCCTACTTCACAAGCCATCCTTCCAAAAAATCCCCTTGAGTAGGGGAGAAATACAGAGTTTACTGAAGGTTTCATTGGAGACAAAGAAGAAAAAGTTTACATCATAAAAACTTTCAGAGGTTGGTCTGGTGTTCGTTCCCTGGGCTCCTTTCAGCTGGTTGGTGGTTAGTGAATAGAAAAATTCATGAAAGAGGTCTAAGATTATGTCTAAGATGTGGTAGACATGAAAGATGTATAAACAACCACCAATTCTGTATAAAAAATCCAGGAAGTTCTGGCTATGGTGAACTTTCAAATCTTACCAATCAAACCCATGAAAAATTGTGAAAAGGGGGTTTGAGTTCACAATGAAAGTGCTTAGGTTTAGAAAAATTAACCCTCATAAATAGCCTATTCCTAACTGAGTCCTCCTCAGGAAAAAGTCATACCAGATGCTGCAGAAAAAAAAATTGAAGAAATGGTCCAGTCAGGCTGCACATTACCCATTGGACGCACCTTCCCACTTGGCTACTGTGACACCATCAATTACAGAAATTGTTCTAAAGCTATTATTTCCTACACTGAAGAATAGTGTGGATGGAACTCACATGTAAAAAGTAGCTTGAATAGATGATGCTTCATTGAAAACAGGGTGCATATTGGCTTTTATTTTACTATACCTTTTGGACATGAGCAAAAGTAAACTTTTAGATTGTCATTTATGGATGTGAGATGCAATAAGGTGAATGTGTACCTGTTATTGAAAAAGCCAACACTCTCACTATGAAAGAACAGAAACAGTTGAAGAAAAGGATTCTGCATAAAATTGAAAAACAGCATCAAAATCCATCACTTAGCTGATGCAGAATCAGGATTAGGTGAGAATTGTAAAGAGCAGACTAGATTTCTTAAGACCAGCTTCCTACTGTCTGAGGTTGGATAGAAACAGTTGATCAAACCCAAAGGCAAGAAGATCAGAGGCTGCCCCTATTTGTAGGGTATTATGCACATGAACACAACTTTCTGGAGCTGAGAACATCACACACCATGGACATGCAGGGCCCCCAGGATGTGAGTGAGAGCCTTCAGTATGAGAACTATTGTAATAAGCTCAAAAGGAGGCAAGGGAGTGCAGAAGGACAGCATAAGAAAAGACCAGGTCTTGCTTGAAAAGAAAATTGAACCCTACTGCCTGTAAGAAATGATGAGAAGGATGTCAGTGCAGATGCAGATACCAGCTGCAGAGGGGGTGCTGTGTGCCTCAGACTGAAAAAGAAAACATTCCAAACAAGTACTGTGGCTGTGTGTTTTCATAAAATCAGCAGACTGTGTGTAGAATTTACTTTTCTTAACTTTTGAGGTGTTAGGGTTTTTGTACAAAGTACATTTGTTTTTAATTTCCAAGTTACACTTTATATTCGATAAGATGAGCTTTGATTTTTTTCTTAGAAAACCATTATATTAGAATTTAGTTCCAAGAATCAGTCAGCATGAGTAGTTCTTACTGAATTTCTTTGAATTAGCTGACCTACTAATAATTACATTGTTTGA